AATCTACATATATCTATGTTTACGATGCCAAACGAGTAGTGTTTGGTCAGAGTACTGAGTAAAACAATTTTATGATTTGTAAAATAAAAAAAGACATTGATTTTATCAATATATTTCAAAAATAATAATTACGATTAAAAACAATAAATGAATGATATTTTTTTGTGTTATTATTGTACAGATATCGTTCAAAGTATAGTCAAATTATTTGTATAAACTGAATTTATTATTTAGTAATTTTAAGTAAACTATGAAAATATTTAAAATTTAATTATTTTTCGTTGAAATATTAATTATTTAAAAAAATATGTGTATTTATTAATGAATATATTTGTTCATGAAATTAATGCGTAGGTTAGTTTTCGCAGTTTTTCAAGAAAATTTCAGATTTCAACGAACATTCCGAAAATATGGATGTAGAAAAAGTCGCTGTGTTTGCCAGTATAGGATTTGCAATAGCTATTGCAATATTTGTTTTATGGGGTCCATCTCCTAAACCTAGAAAAAAAGGTATAGTGAAAAATATATTTTCAATTCTTATGGATTTTCAATTCTTATTTAAAAGATATATTTTACTATATTTTACATGTTTTTTCAGGAAAAGTCATTGGAATCAATAATTTAGGATATACTTGTTTTTTAAATTCTCTTTTACAAGCTTTAGCTGCATGTCCAATATTTATTGGATGGTTAAAGAAACAGTATGATAAAAATGGAAAAGTTAATTTCATTTCAACTCTACTGTCCGTTTTTGAAAGTATGCAATTATTTTCAATAACATATTATTTATTTTATGAATTTTTTATTATTTTTATTATTTTATGAATTTAAAAAAAAATTAAAAATATAAATATATAAAAATATATATAAAAATATAAATATGATAATTATAAATATAAATGATATTTTAAATTTAAATGATATTTTTATTAAAGAATAAGTTATAATGTAAAAATTTTATTTTTTAATTTAATTTAAAAATTTAATAATTTAGATAATATGTATATATGATATATTTCTAAAAAATTAATATAATTAGTATTTGCAAATGAATAATATATACATTTTTTGAATTAGAAATCAATGGATATGCAGAAGATTTATATGGTGATGTGACACCAATTGAGATCATTTCGTCTCTTGGCAATCAATGGAAATTTGCACCTGGACATCAAGATGTACATGAATTATTTCATATAGTTCTTAATGCACTACAAGCAGAAATTCAATCTGGAAGTAGGGTATGTTTGCAAATTAAAAGTTAATGAATTCAAAATATAATAAATTATATTAAAGTCATATTATTATATACACATTGCTATATTTTATAATATTGAATTTTAAGTAATATTTTTAAATAAATTTATTTTTAATAAAATAAATGACAAATTAAATATATTTATAATAATTATTTCAGAAAGGTTGTTTGTCTGATGCTTTACCACAAAGTCCAATAATGATAACAGATACAAAAAAATTGGGTGATCCTTTAACATTTAGAAGTGTATCTTGTAATGATATTGTATCAGTTAATAAAAACCCTAACATTCCAAATGGTTTTGATAAAAATTGCAACAATCATGTAATATCTTCAACGACATCCATATCAAGTATTCCTATGGCATATAACAAGCCAGGTATAATCCTTGCTAGGTCTTCAGAATTGCTTTCAAGAAATGTTAAACTTGAAGGAAATAAGGAATCTTTTAAACCATGGAGTTCTTTATGTGCTATGTCATTTTCTAATACTACAATATCAGTAGAAGTCCATCCATTTTCAGGTTCATTAACTAGTCAATTACAATGCAGCTGCTGTAAATGGAAGGTTAACTTTTTATTTTAATTATATCTTTATTTTTTATATTATATTATTTTATTCCATAATTGTAATTATAAAAGACAAATAAGATTATTTTTTATAGTCTGCAGTTCATTATGACAAACTAGAAACAATTTCTTTACCCTTGCCACCTTTGGGTACATATATAAAATCATATCATACAGTGGAAGAATTACTAACACGTTTTGTAACTAGTGAGATTGTTCAAGATGTATTATGCGATGGATGTGGAATGCGTTGTTTAGCTACTAAAACTCTAACTCTAGGAAAACTTCCTAAATGTTTATGTTTACATATATCAAGAACCACATGGAGTTCTTCAGGAATACCAATTAAAAGAGATGATCCAGTAAAATTTCCCGAAATATTAACTTTAGATCCTTATACTTTTACAGAAACTAAAAAGCGAAATGCACAGGTATTATATGCATATTAATATATATTGTAATTTTATTTATTAGAAATTTAATATGAAATATGAATTAACAGGGTGATCCCGAAGCAACAATGTTACTTAGTCGAACAACTATACAAGATAAACATAAATATCAATTACGTGCAATCGTAGAACATCGTGGACCTGTTGATTCTGGACATTTTGTTTGCTATCGACGAGGAAATAAAATGAATCAATGGCTGTATACTTCAGATAATGTAGTTGAGAGTATATCCTTAATTGAGGTTTTATGTGCCACACCGTATCTTCTCTTTTACGAGCGTATTAATAGCATATAAGAATAGTTAATAATCAATTTTAGTAATTGCAGTAAATTTAGAAATATGTGATGACTAAATATATTGAAATAATGTAATTATGATGAATGGAATTTAAGAGACTGAATGTGTTTTAATATTAACTTTCACGTTTTTATCGTAAAGCATTTGAAATTATTTCAAGCTATTTAAATGAATTAAGAATATTTAAATTTCTGTACATTATGTATTAGATTTGATTAGAATCACTGTATTAGATTTTTCCTAAGATATTGATAAGTATCATTGTTATATAAATGATACATAAGAAACAAAAGTAAAATGTTTTTAGCTTAAAAAATATGACGTTATAGTTTTTAAATTTAATTAAATATTGCAAAATTTTTAATTGTATATTTTAAATGTTATATATGTTAGTAATTTGCGTAGAATAAAGTATTCGATATTTAAGTGTAGCGAACCTGTAGGATACCGTATATACTGATTTTCGTACATATAAGCTGAGTCGCCAAAGACTAGAAACTAAAATAGTTGTTTGTAATAAAAATGTACAAAAAATGTATAAAGAAAAAAATATTTACTTCAAAGATAAGTATTATAACATAGATTTTATTTTTAAAATCATATATTTCGAGATTTTAAATCTAAATTTTTTTGAATGAAATGGTATATTTGGTATGGTATATTGATTAATATAATTATATTGCAAATTTAAAAAAAGTGAATAAATTCAAAGATAAATGAAGTCAATAACAGTATCAGGGCTAAATGTTATAGCGATAATCATTTTATTTATAAACATTATAAATATAATTGTTTCTACTGATTTTCATTATTCATTCATTGATAGTGATCAATCTTATTTTTAACTTGTAAATTAATATGATTCTAATGAAATGAACTGCATTACTTGAAATTTCAGAATTTTTGTTGCAAATGAAAGATATATATGAATTTATATTTGAAAGATTTAATAGTAATATAAATAATTTTATTAGTATACTTATAAATAATATTTTAATTAAATTTTGTTCCACAAAAAATCATTCAAAGATCAATATGTTATTCATGAATTTTTTTTTAATTAACTACTAATTAATATTACATTAAAAATATACCATACTATTTAAAAAATTTGAATAATTTTAAAATTTCAGAAAATATGATTTCAAAAATAAAATATTTGTTGCAATATTTGTCCTTTGTAACTTTTCTCCTTTTATTTTTTAAATTCTTGCAAGCAAAGAAAATATTTTAGATTCTAGTTTTAGGTAATTCATTTTAGAATAATATATTTATAATTTATAATTGCATTAAATTGCTTGATAAATTATATAAATTATAATAAAATTAAAATCAAATTGTGCCAAATCAATTTTTATATGTGAAGTAAATTATTACTTTATACATCTAAAAAGGATTTAAAAGATTAACTTTAGATATGTATTGTAAATGAAATATACTTTTGAGCAATTAAAAAATAATAAGTTAAAATCTTTAATAATATTATATTATATTAATCTTTAATAATATTATTAATATTATTATGATATAATTTCTATGAATAATAATTTGTATATATTCTTTATATCATTTTTTCTATAATTTCTATCTTGTATGTTACATATAAATTATTTTATTCATATCAATCTTTTTTTAAATAAAAATACAATTATATTTTTACGAAAATCTAAAATAATTAATTGTGAGATAATAAGATTAATAATTTTATTTTTGAATCTAATTCTTATAAATTTTAAAATTGATATAAAATATACATAGAATACAATAAATATTTTATTTTAAAATGTAATCTTTCGTTATAATATTGAAATATCTTTCATTATAAAATAATAATAAAAAGATAAATTAAAAATATAATAATAACATTATATATAATAAATATAATATTATTGGATACATTTTTTTTATTTAATTTTATATATGCATTTTATTTGTATATAGTTCTTCATTTTTAAAGATTTTTGTGACCATGTTGAATTTTTATCCAATCCTTTTGAAGAAATATAATGGCATTACATTAATGCGAAATGCATTAAAAAGGGTTGCATAAAACTTCATCAAAAATCAATTAATTTCTTTATTAACCGATCAATCATCATTTTACGTACATATGTATGTATATATTTTATTTGTTATCCTATATATATGTATTCAATTTCTCACAAAGTCACAATTCAATTTCATGACAATTCACGCTTATAACCAGGATTACTAGAAAATTCCTGATGCCAACCTATATGTGACATCATAGAAATACTTATGTAATAGGATAGAGTGGGAATAATTGAGACTGGGTTGCTTGACACGAAAATGCGATACCATCTACTTGTTATTTTGTAGTACTACATAGTACGTCAGTATCTTCATGACGTCAATAGACTAGTACGTCAGTACGCATAGGTCAACAATTGGCATAAAGAGTTTTTCAGTAACTCTGCTCGCGATTTGCGAATCGTCAAATCGTCATTTTTGATGAATAATATTTGATATGTTTGAAGAACAGATGGTATATATATATATATATATTGCTGCATTTTTATATATGTTTTTATATATATTTTATAATTTAAATGACAAGTAAAATGTTACTATTTGAAATTAATGTTTATATAAATATTTTTTGTGATATCACTATATGATTTATAAAGTAATATATAAGTAATATATAGTAATATATATATATATATAAATATATATACATATACTATATATGCATGTGTGTGTGCATGTGTGTGTGTGTGTGTGTGTGTGTCAAATAAATTTGAGCAAGCATTATATAAATTTATAGGTTATAATAATACTTGTAAATTTTTGTAAATATCGAATGTCTTGAAATTTATTACGTCATATTTTACTTTCAACGTAAATACAAAATGCCTCATTTCATAAGCACCAAAGATGAAATTGTGAGTATAATTATTATAAATATAATTATTTTCTATTTCTCTTAATAATTCTATAATATTACATTTTGATTTTTTGGTAGGTACAAAACATGGACGATATCAATTCTGATTTTGCTTCTCTTAAAGTATCTGTTTTGAAGAAAGCTTCTCGCATATCAGGCGAAGTAGATAGAATTACAATTGGTCCTAATTCAATAACAAATGAAAATGAAAATAAAAAATCAGAAAATATAGAAAATGAACAAAATTCTTGTAATATAACAATTCCAAAAAAATCTATTCATTCACAAAATAATGGTATTACATTTTCAGTAAAAAAAATTCTTTTAGAAAGTGAATATCAAAGAAAAGAAGAAGTTCAGGTAATATATATTTATATATATGTATTTATTCTTAAAGAAAAATAATTACATGTAATACAATTTATACATATAAATAAACGATATATTATCATAAGAAATATAACATTTCAATTGTTTTAGAAAGAAATTGAGCGTCATTGGCAACATATGAAAGAAAATGGAAAAGTTATACAAGAACATATAGCAGTATCACGTTCACATATGGCTAAAGAACGTGAACGTAGAAGTAAAGAAAATTATGCATACATATTAGCAGAAGAAAGAATGGCAGAACAAGAAGAAATACGAAGAAGACATGAACGACAAAAAGAAGTTGAAGAATATAGGAAAGAAATAAAAGAAAAAGAAGAATTGACCAAAAAAATAATGATTTTAAGAAATATGTATGTTAAAAAATATCATGACATTATAGAGCTTTCTGAAAATTTTAAAGATAAAAATTCTTTTACACTATCATCTTCTTATGCTGTAAAATTAGAAGAATTACATCTTCAAATGAAAGTTATAGATGAAAAAATTAAGGTAAGAAATAAACAAGAAGAATTTTTTTAAATATAATATTTTAAATACTTTTAAATATTTGTATATATTAATATATACATATATATTATTTATAGATAGGTGATATAACATCTGTTGATTTAAATATTATAGTAAATCTAATTCATCAAATTGATGAAATGTATGGTATGTTTAAATCAGAGATAGGTAAGTTATTCTATATATTATATATTTTTTTTTTCTATTCTATGTAAATATAAATTTTATGTACATATAATTCTTCATATTTTTTATTTTGCTTTATAGATAGAATAAATGTTCAATGCGAAAGAAATTTAATTGGAACAGAAAATACAGTACATTCTCATATTCAATTACCAGTTTCAGAAAGTCAAGAACTTAAGAATAATCAAATAATTTCTGAAACAGCTATTTCAGAACAAATAAGTACTAATAATTCAGAAAATAATAATTTTCAAGAATGTGGAGATGAAAAAAAGCAAAGAAGTTTACAAACAGATAATATATCTTCAGATATTTCACAAATAACATCACCAACTGCTAATATAGAAGAAAATATATCAAAAACTGAATTAGATAAAGGTATTAGATAAAGGAAATAATTTTTGACATAACTAATTTTTGTTTTTACTTTATATTCGTTTTTATTTTTAGATCACTTATATGAATATGTTGATAAAGATTTGTTAGAAACATACATGAATAGTCAAAAATTTTTTGAAAATCATGTAAAAATGCTCGATGAATTTTTATTATCTGCAGCTACGAAAAAATTTAGATTTGAATGTCAAAAAGCAATAAATATACCTGTAAATGCAATATCAGGTATTAATCAACAACATCTGAAAGATAAATACGAAAGATTATATAATTTGCTTATGGGAAAATCTTGGCCGGATGTTAATCAATATCCGCAGGGTGCAGCCTTTTGTAAAAATATTTTAGCTAAAAAGATAGTTGTATGTAATAATTTCATATTTAATTTATCATATTATAAAATTTAACACATATGCAATGTATAATTTATTTTAATAGAATCAAGGTGAAACACTTGTTTCAAGTAAACCAAAGATGGCATTTCCTATTGCTGCCATAATTGTAGCCCTTTGGAATGATCATTCCGATTTTGGTGATCTACTTTTATCTCATTTTCATAATACTTGTCCGTTTACGGTTCCTATTTTTATGCCAAAAATGGTAGGACAATCGAATGAAGATTATTACAAATTAATGGGTTACAAATATGACGAAGATGGTACAATTGAGAAGCATGATAAATTTTTAAAAAGAATGTCTGGTTTGATGAGATTATACGCTTCTATTACTATCACGATTCAAAGAAAAGGAATTACTAAAACTAATCCACATGGACTTCAAAATGCATGGCGATGGTTGGCTGCTATTTTAAATATTGGTAATGTAAATATTTAAGAAAATAATATAATATAATGAATTTTTTGTAATTTGTTATATTTTTGTTTCCAGAACCACGAAAAGAAGTATCAGATATATGTGCAACTCTTTTATTGGATATGCTTGAAGTTGCTGGAAATACATTATGGATTGCTTATCCAAAACAATTCCATAAACTCTTAATTTTATTATCGGAAGAATATTACCCACGTATGAAAAATGTAGGATGTATTGGCAGTGGTCCATTGGTACGATTAGATGAATTTTTGCGAAATAGTTTAAGTAAAGGTTCAATAGCTGCTCCTGATGGTCAACTTCCTCCAGATTTTTGGTGATATCAGTATTATAAATTAATTATTTAATCTGAATTATATACCTTGTAAATTTTTAGCTGTTATTGATATTCGTAAATCATTGTCTATATAATATAATATATGAGAATTTTCTCATGAAAAAAAAATTTTAAACTAATTTGTATATATAAAAAATCATTATTTGAATATCATATCTATTTATTAAACTTTCAATGCATGAAAAATAAAAAATGTAAAAAAATGTAAAAATATTAAATGATTTATGTATAGTTTTGCGTATATCTATAATTGATATATTAAGAATAATATGATTTTTAGTAGTATGGTACACTTGTAATTACAGATTTTATGCCATCAAAATTATATAATTTTTCAAAATTTTTGGTAAATCCAGTAACACCAAAAGGAGCAAATCTATCTATCCACTTTTTGTCTTGATTTAAATTTAACAAATAAGTTGTAATTTTTTTTGCGAGGATATCTGCAAATATAGAATGGAAATTAAATTAATATTAGCATGAAAAAAGACTAAAACACGAATATAAGATAATTCATAGTTATTCTTTGTCTTTGTATACCTGAAAGTGTTTTTCGTGCCATAATGCGGTAAGGTGGTAAAGGTCCTAAACTCATTAAAATATGAAGAGAATCAATTCCTGGTAATGTGTTTTTATGGCACTTAATGACAGGAGATTCTAAAATTCCAATTTCTGCTTGTTTTCCTGCAACCATTTGTAAAGTAGCAACTTGTGTATCAGCATCTAAAAATTAAATTTATAATTTAATTAACATTATTATAATGCATTGAAAATAAAAAAAAATATAATTTTATTATAACATACAAACCAAGAATATTTCCGAAAAAGGCTGGATTTTCACCCTTCGTATATAAGTAATTAAATAACAATGTTGCTGCCCCGGTGTTTTTTTTTCGATCTGGAAGAGAACATCTATGACCTCGAAAATCTATTATGTCCTATAAAAAAAATTCTCAAATCAATATATTTATATTTTTAATTGTAACGCATATTTAAATTTTTTATCATATGTTATACTTGTACGTGTTGTGCACGATCTGAAGCAACAATAACATCAGCATAAACACACGATGAATTATCTTTATTAAGATGATGTTCGAAAGAGAAACTGACAGGTAAAAGCTTACCATCTTCCCATTCCCTATTTGCTGGTAAAATAGCTGAAAAAATGTTAATTATTATATTTATTTATTTATATATTATACTTGTAAAACAAAATAATCACAGTAAGCGATAGTAACCATATATCTCTATAATCATATATAAAATTATTCAAGATAGATTAATATTATTATTTATTTTTCATTATATAAATCGACAGTCAAATATAATAACATACCAATATCCGCAACTTCTTTTGCAATTGGTCTATCGCTTCTAGGTTCATATAATAGTACCACTGGTTTCTCAGTAGCAACTTCGATTGCTTCTACAAATACTTCGAACAAGTTAATAGGTAATGAAGGCACAAGATGCGTTGTTAAAACAAGTGGGCGTTCATTTAAAACTGGTGTAGAAAGAGGAGGATATTTTCGAGGAACAGCAACATTTGAAAGTTCTTGAATATCCTGAAAATATTTCATTTCATATAGTTGTCAGTTATTTATATAAATATTTATATAAATTATTTTTTAATTTCCAAGTATTTTTAAATGCATAAATAAAAAATTATAATAAAAAATTAAATTTTCACAATAGATAAAAAAAAAATACAAGTATATTACAAGTATATTATAAATTCACAGAATATTTTAATCATAAAGAATCTAATAATATTTTATTTTTCGGATTAATCAATATGGATTATAATTTTCTTTTCATTGCAAATTTTCTATAAAATTAGAAAATGGAAAATTAAATTAATCAAAGAAACGTGCATTGAAAGAAAGAAAAAAATTAATTTTATTTTAAATTATTTAAATAATTAAATTTTTTCTATTGTCAACGAATAAGATTTGCGAATAAATATAAAAAAACATGACGATTTTGATGACATTTTATGAAAGACCGTGCAAAGTGAATTCGATGAACGAAATCATTGCTTGATACATGATTGAATACAAAATACACACAAAATATATAAATATCATTTTTTTTTTTTTTTTTTTAATATATATTACTATTTTTAAAGTTGTGCATTAGATTGGTGAGTAGCAGAATTGGTACTTACTAACAGTAATATCGAAATATCATGTAAAATTGCTGATTAATATTTCTAAACAAATATTACTATCGGATAATATATAATACGATATAATGGATAACACTATGATTAGGATATCGATGATCAGGGTATCTTTCACGATATCATGCTATAATGTTTATAACTTCCATTGTAAATAATAATTTTTCTTAATATTGGCATCATATCAATAATTTTTATTTTTATTGATATATTAAATAATATGAAAAGATATAATTATTATTATAAAAAAAGAAATGAAAATAATTATTTTAAATAATTATTTTTTATTTTTTAATATGGATTCATAATACTTACTTTATTAATAGGAATCATTTTGTATTTCGAAACGTTGACTTCATTTAAAACAATACTACTTGAACTTTTACATTTGTTATCTTTTGTTTCGATATTTTCCACTTTTGATTCAATATTTTTTAAGTCGATAATATCAAGCTTGGAACGTTCTGGTTTCAAAAGTTTTGAAATTTCATTTTCCAGTTGCATTTTTTCCTGTTTTTTCGTTTCTTTTAAATCATTTTTTTCTATTTCACACACAATGTTTTTATGCATTTGACAATTTTCAATAGAAGCGAATGTAGTATGTATTAATTTTTTGGTAATTATTGGATTTTCTTTTGATTCAGAATGAATTTCATCTTGAATCGATTTATTTGACGATGTTTTTGTTTTGGATAACATTTTTTGTGCGAATTTTACGTCCTTATAATTTTATACTTTTTTATAATGTAATGATAGAAAAATTCTAAAAATTAATGCTACAACATATAAAAATGTTACGAATTAATAAATATTTCCTATTTGAAATTATGCAGAGTGCTTAATTATGCTATTAATTTTCAGTTTTTTTATTTGTGTGATTTTAGAAAAAAAATGAAAAAAAAACATATGTTTCAATCTTTTTTATTCATATATAATACGATGATTGGAAGAAATTTTTAAGTTTATAATGATTGTGAAATGAAGATCGTCGAAATGATATTTTAATTTGATATTTATTTTCTTTTATATTCTTTTATATTTCATGATTATAATTGATATTTTTTTTTTTTATCCAAAAATATTTGATCAACACTATTGTTTTTTTAAAAAGGGAAAAATTTTTCCTTTAAAAATTTACTATCATTTCCAAAAAATTTTTTAGTTAGTTAAATTTATCTATTATTAAAAATATGATAATTAAATATTCTCTGAATTTATTGAATTTTTAAATTTAAATAATTTTTCTGAACTTATAAGTAGAAATTAAAAGAATTTGATGATTAATAATTTAAAAATGTACTGTTTAGATATTTATGTGAATTATTCGCCTGTTATATTCAATTTTAATTTTACACGATAAGAAATTGTAATAACAAAACATTTTTTTTTTAAACCATAAATCTTCATATAGAATTAAGTGTTTACTATTATAAATACAATATATATGTTAAATGTTCAAATCAAATATCATAGTTATAATTACAAATTCCTCATATTTCATTTTTAATTATTGTATAATTATTATTTGTGCGAACTTTGTGAGTTTGTTAGTTGTATAACTTTGTAAGTTTCGAATTTAAATGACATATTCCGATTATATGCAATCTTATCGGTATTAATTTCTCGTCTTAATTAGTGATGAAAATAAGACAGTTAAATTCCATATTATTTTTATAATTATATTATTTTCTAAGTAATGATAATATCTCAATTAGATTTGTAATTTATTTAATTTCGATAAATAATTATTATATATTATAATATATAAACAGCGTTTTTTTAAAAATGATTATCTACGCAAAATTATCAAATAAAAAAATACACATTGTATGATCATTTGTTATTAATTTTTTTATAGTTATTTTATATAAATAAGAAAATATATTATTAAATAAATTGAATAAACGCACATTACATTTAAATAAAATATATATTTTGTAAATTACAAATTCATAAAATAACTTCAAATAATTTTAATAAGATAATAATAAGATATATTCATAATATTAACATTTATGTAATAAATTAAATAAATTAAACAATTTGAATATTTATTAAACAATAAACATATTTATTTGATATCGATAGATTTATAAATTTATTCAAATAAATAAGTATTTTATAAAATTTATTTTAATTATTTTTAATTTGATACCAATTAAATGAATATACATTAAAAATATACACGATGAATTACTTATTATATGTATAGTATTGTTTAATAGAAACTTCATTAACCTCGACAAAATATAATATACAATAATTCAATGTGTAACAGTTATTGAATAAAAGTTCTTGTATACCAGTTAAAATTTGCTTATATATTAAATTTCAAAATTTAAATTACCTTTGTTTTCATTGCTCATACGTGGAGTACACTGAATCAAGACTCGATGATGAAAACTGTCAAACGTTCGATGACAGAATAATTGGAATATTACTTGGAACGTGAGTTTGGAGGCAGTTATGCATTTGTGAATAATCTTCAGTCGATTGCCGCGTGATGGCTGCGTGTTCCAGTGAAATAATGCCATTTCACTGCAGGTTCCAGTGATACCGGTTGGAGGATGAAGACAAGATATATGTGACGAAAATATTTGTATAATCGTATTATTCATTTTTTGTATGAAACGTGAAATAATGTTATTAATCTATCTTTATTATTAAAGATAGATTTAATAATTAAAATTTCATAATATTTTTATGAAAGCTAATTTAGTTTTATGAGGACTAATGTATAATAACAATAATTTTTATTTTCTTGAAAAAAGGTTAACAAGAGAAATAGGTAAATCTTGTTATTTTAAATATTACATATTATTTTTTCTCATATTGTACAAATGTATGATAAATGTAAAATATATTTAAAAAAAAAATTTAAATATTCAAATTATAGATATAAAAAAAATAATTATAAGTATATAATCAGATAAGATACAAGGATATAAATAAATGTTTGTATTTATGTTTAAAATAAAGAAACAAATTTAGAAATAAT